GCTTGAATGGCATTGGACTGCATTATATAGTCAGTGTAGACCCATATTGCGCAGCTTGAATGGCATTGAACTGCATTATATGCCCATTGTAGTTCCATGTCATACAGTTTGAACTGCATGACCTGGGTCTACACCAACCTTATAAATGCAGCTCAAACTACACTCTTTGGCAGCGTAGACCCAGCCGTAGCCACAGGGAAACAGAACGCATGTGCAGGAATAGATTTGCACCAACGTTTTCCCTTTGGAACAAAAAAAAGAAACAACAACACCCTGCCGTTTCCATTTCTCGTCTTAAATGGGCATGAAGGAATTAAACTGTGCCAGTGAATAACAGCATTAGTTTCAATTATTTCCCCTCCCCAAATCCTGGCAACCATAAAAGTTTGGGTTTTTACATCCTTAATTAGCCTGCTTTCCCATCTGTATTTCTGTTTTAAGTGCCGGAGTGCTTTGATTTAAACTTGGCCTCCCCTTCATCCCTCCCTCTCTCCCGCTTCCTTTTTCATTCCTCCTTCTTTCTATCTCTCTTTTGTCTTCCCTTCTCTTGCTTTTCTCCCACCTTTGGCCTCCTATTCTCCTCCCTTACCTGATTGCAGAGGCAGTTTGGTGCAGTATAGTACAGTTCAAGCTGCGCAATATGGATCTGCTCTGCCCATATAACTTTTTCTCTGTACACACAAACATGTGTGTACAGCAACATGGCTTCCTATGGCCCCGAGCTATGTGCAAATGCGGAGAGCGCCTCCATCCAGCCCCAGTGTAGTCAGTGTAGACCCATATTGCGCAGCTTGAATTGCATTGAACTGCATTATGTAGTCATTGTAGACCCATATTGCGCAGCTTGAACGGCAAAACAAACTTTTGAAGCCCGATTTCAATGTCTCGCATCCCTGAGTGTGTATGAATAGGAAGAATGTTCTTTCAGAGAGAGAAAGAAAGGGAGGGAAAGGAGAGGCAACACCCTGGAAATGTCTGCCACGTCTTTCAGCGTTCCCTGCCCCGAGGCATGCGTGCGCCCGAGGGCCTTGGAGTTGAATGGCGCACTCACAACCGCCTTCTGTTTACCTTTTATGGTTAAAATAACAGCTTTTTTTGCAAAGGAGCAACTTTGCAAAAGGGAACAAACGGCTCAGATTGGGTGAAACTCATCTCAGGCAGAAGCGGAGCTGGTTTAATCACCCCTAGAGAGCTGAACAACTGCGAGCTCAATGGGACACAAAACCATTTTGTGTGTAAATGAGCATGGGATGGCGGTGATATTCGCTTTCCATGGGCAAATAGTTTTTACAAGCAGCCGTTTGAGGCAGGGAGCGAGTGGAGGAAGGCAGCAAGGATGGTGCGAAGGCGCCTGGTGAGAAGAGGCATGCGCGCGCATGAGAGGTGGCAACGTCTGTGCACACAAATGCAAAAGCAATGGGCAAAGGGGGCCCTATGGCACCGTCCATCCGCAGGAAGGTCCCTTCCCACATTCATTCACTCATTCATTCCAAGGGAGACGGGCAAGGGAAGGCCCCAAAGCATTGCATTAATAGTGCATAATACTCTTAGGTAGGCAGACTGCACATAGGGCCAGTGCGCTTCCATGATGCGCCTTCTCCTTTTTGCTGGGAAAGGCCTCAAAATACTGAAAAGGAGTCTCGTTTGGGAAGCTATCGGCCAAAACAAGAGTTTTGAATGTGTTGTTTTGGAGCATTCCTTATGGAAGCTTAAAGTATCATCTCTCTATTATGAAGTCAAAACAGAGTTTATAGTGTTTTGTTTTAGTACCTTCATTAGAGAAGCTTAAAGTATAATTTGGCTCTCTCTCTCTCTTTATCAACTTTCTATCCATCTCTCTATCTCTCTCTCTGTCTTTCTATCTATCTCTCTATCTGTTTATCTATCTCTGTATATCTCTCCATCTCTCTATCCATCTCTCCATCTATCTCTCTATCTCTCTATCCATCTCTCCACCCATCTCTCTATCCCTCTGTATCTATCCATCTCTCTATCCCTCTATCCATCTCCATCCATCTCTCTATCTCTCTGTATTTCTATCCATCACTCCATCCATCTCTCTATCTCTCTATCCATCTCCATCCATCTCTCTATCTCTCTATCCATCTCTCTGTATCTCTATCCATCACTCCATCCATCTCTCTATCTCTCTGTCCGTCTCCATCTCTCTATCCATCTCTCCACCCATCTCTCTATCTCTCTGTATCTATCCATCTCTCTATCTCTCTATCCATTTCTCTATTTCTCTTTATCTCTATCCATCTCTCTATCTCTCTATCCATCTCTCTATCTCTATCCACCCCTCTATCTCTCTATCCATCTCTCTATCCATCTCACTATCTCTATCCATCTCTCTATCTAGCTCTCATATCTCTCTATCTGTCTCTCTATCTATCTCTCTGTCTTTCTATCTATCCATCTGTCTATCTCTTCCTATTTCTCTATTTTTTTCCATCTCTGTATTTCTTTATCCATCTGTCTATATCCATCTCTCTATTTAACACTCTCATATATATATATATATATATATATATATATATATATATATATATATATATATCTAGTCTCTATCTCTCTCTGTCTATCCATCTCTCTCTCTCTCTATCTTTCTATTCATCCCTCTCTATCTCCCTATCTATCTTTCTATCTCTCCATCGCTATCTAGCTATCTCTCTATCACTCTGTCTGTCTCTCTATCTCTCTATCCATCTCTCTATCTCTTTATCCATCTCTCTGTCTCTCCCTCTCTCTAGCTCTCTCTATCCATCTATCTTTCTCTATCTCTTTATCCATCTCACTATTTCTCTATCCATGTCTCTATCTCTATCTATCTCTTTCTCTGCCTCTCTTGCTATCTCCCTATCCATCTCTCTATCTCTATTTCTCTATCCATGTCTCTATCTCTCTCTGTATCTCTCTGTCCATATGTCTATCCATCTCTCCATCCATCTCTCTCCATCCATCTCTCTATCTCTCTCTGTATCGCTCTATCCATATGCCTCTCTCTCTCTCTCATCTCTCTGATATATATCTTGCTATAACGCAAAACAAGAGTTTAAAATGTGTTATTTGGGGGCATTCCTTAAAGAAGCTTCAAGTATAACCTATCTATTATCTATCTATTGCTAAGTCCAAAGAGAGTTTTAACCTGTATTGTTTTGATACCTTCCTTAGAGAAGCAATATATATATATGGGTTATGAGTTTTCCTGGCTGTATGGCCATGTGCCAGAAGCATTTTCTCCTGACGTTTCGCCTGCATCTATGGCAGACAACCTGCCATAGATGCAGGCGAAACGTCAGGAGAAAATGCTTCAGGCACATGGCCATACAGCCAGGAAAACTCACAACAACCTGCCATAGATGCAGGCGAAATGTCAGGAGAAAATGCTTCTGGCACATGGCCATACAGCCAGGAAAACTCACAACAACCTGCCATAGATGCAGGCGAAATGTCAGGAGAAAATGCTTCTGGCACATGGCCATACAGCCAGGAAAACTCACAACAACCTGCCATAGATGCAGGCGAAACGTCAGGAGAAAATGCTTCAGGCACATGGCCATACAGCCAGGAAAACTCACAACAACCTGCCATAGATGCAGGCGAAATGTCAGGAGAAAATGCTTCTGGCACATGGCCATACAGCCAGGAAAACTCACAACAACCTGCCATAGATGCAGGCGAAACGTCAGGAGAAAATGCTTCAGGCACATGGCCATACAGCCAGGAAAACTCACAACAACCTGCCATAGATGCAGGCGAAATGTCAGGAGAAAATGCTTCTGGCACATGGCCATACAGCCAGGAAAACTCACAACAACCTGCCATAGATGCAGGCGAAACGTCAGGAGAAAATGCTTCAGGCACATGGCCATACAGCCAGGAAAACTCACAACAACCTGCCATAGATGCAGGCGAAATGTCAGGAGAAAATGCTTCTGGCACATGGCCATACAGCCAGGAAAACTCACAACAACCTGCCATAGATGCAGGCGAAACGTCAGGAGAAAATGCTTCAGGCACATGGCCATACAGCCAGGAAAACTCACAACAACCTGCCATAGATGCAGGCGAAATGTCAGGAGAAAATGCTTCTGGCACATGGCCATACAGCCAGGAAAACTCACAACAACCTGCCATAGATGCAGGCGAAACGTCAGGAGAAAATGCTTCAGGCACATGGCCATACAGCCAGGAAAACTCACAACAACCTGCCATAGATGCAGGCGAAATGTCAGGAGAAAATGCTTCTGGCACATGGCCATACAGCCAGGAAAACTCACAACAACCTGCCATAGATGCAGGCGAAACGTCAGGAGAAAATGCTTCAGGCACATGGCCATACAGCCAGGAAAACTCACAACAACCTGCCATAGATGCAGGTGAAATGTCAGGAGAAAATGCTTCTGGCACATGGCCATACAGCCAAGAAAACTCACAACAACCCAGTGATTCCAGCCATGAAAGCCTTCGACAATACAAAGTATATATCTGTTTCTATCATTTATCTTGCTAACATCTATATATCTATTGATTAGTCTATCTCTAAGTCAAGTCAGAATTTAATACATTTGTTTTAGTGCTTTCCTTGAGTATCACCAATGTATCCTCTGTTTATCTATCGTCAGCCCAATCAACCATCTATCTATCTGTCTAGGGATTGACCCCAATGTTGTGTTATGGTCTTTGTAGTCCCGGAGGGGAAAGGAAAGTCATTCCAAGTGTCTTGACAGTAAAAAGGCTGTTGACAGTTCAGCGTGCCGTCTCCGTCTCCGGCGACATAACAATAAACCCCGGGAACGGTGCCGTTGTGCTTGGCTTTGTTCATGTGCCATCTGCACCCATCATTCCAGGCTCCCATTGGATTGCGACCCACATCTGCCCCGTTTGGGTGGGCTGTGGCTTCTTCCCCATTGTTCTCTGCCTCTGAGAAGTGAGTGGGAGGCGAGGGACGGTCCTGCCCAAGGAAAGGTATAATAGGAGGGCTCTAATAGAGAGAGAGAGAGAGAGAGAGAGAAGAGAGAGAGAGAGAGAGAGAGGCACATGATCAGGAGTGAGGCATGAAGCCTTGCCGCCCGGTGCCGAACAACGCCTTGGAAGCCAGCCCCATTGGGCGCCAATGGACTTTCTTTCAAGTAAGCACGCTTATGATTGGGCATCGCCTCCCTCGCGCCTGGCAGGAGACCCAAACCCAACACAGAGCGGCTCCTGCCTCACTCAAACCGATTCGGAAAAGGGAAGATGATCTGCAGGAGAAGCATTTGGCTGGTAGATACAACTTTGCATGGATTGCGACAATCGTTGCCAGGCTCCTTCGCGCGCCTTTGCTCTTTAGTGTGCTTTCCCTCCCATTGGGAATGTGTCTGTTGTGCTGGATACATACAGTGGCTAGTTTTCTGTTTCGGGTCTCATTCGTTGTAACAGACTCTCTTTTGTTGCAGAAATAGCTCTTTTCTATGGTTTTTGGGGGACGATGGGTTAAATTGGATCAGAACCAAGGTAGGCAGAGGCAGTGTTTACCTTTTGGAGTTTGAATAAGAGTGTGCCTTTGGTGCCGAATAAGAGAGATGGATAGAGAGAGAGAGATGGATAGGGAGATAGATAGAGATATAGATAGGGAGATAGAGATGGATAGAGAAATAGAGAGATGGATAGGGAGAGAGCGAGTTTGATAGAGATAGAGATATGGATAGAGAGACAGAGAGAGAGAGATGGATAGAGAGAGGTTGATAGAGAAATAGAGAGATGGCTACAGAGATAGAGATATAGAGAGACAGACAGATAGAGATATGGATAGACAGGTAGAGAGATAGAGAGATGGATAGAGAGAGAGAGACGGATAGAGAAATAAAGAGATTGATAGAGAGATAGAGATGTGGATAGAGAGACAGATAGATGGATAGATGGATGGATGGATGGATGGATGGATGGATGGAGAGATGGATAGAGAGAGAGATACAGATATGGATAGAGAAATGAGATTATCCATGGATAGAGACAGATAGATAGAGAGATGGATAGAGAGAGAGAGATGGATAGAGAAATAAAGAGATTGATAGAGAGATGTGGATAGAGAGACAGACGAAGAGATGGATAGAGAGAAAGATGCAGATATGGATAGACAGAGAGATGGATAGAGAAATAGAGAGATAGTGAGATAGAGAGGGAGATACAGATATGGAGAGAGAGAGAGAGATGGATAGAGAAATAGAGAGATGGATAGGGAGAGAAAGATTGATAGAGAGATAGATAGAGATATGTATAGAGAGAGGTGGACAGATAAATAGAGAGATGGATAGAGAGATAGATATAGATAGAGAGGCAGATAGATAGATAGATAGATAGATAGATAGATAGATAGATAGATAGATAGATGGATGGATGGATGGACAGAAAGATGGACAGAAAGATGGACAGAAAGATGGACAGAGAAATAAAGAGATAGAGAGATAGATATATGGATAGAGAGACAGACGGAGAGATGGATAGAGAGAAAGATGCAGATATGGAGAGAGAGAGAGGTGGATAGAGAAATAGAGAGATGGATAGAGAGAGAGATGGATAGAGAAATAGAGAGATGGATAGAGAGAGAGAGAGAGATGGATAGAGAAATAGAGAGATGGCAAGAGAGATAGAGAGATGGAGAGAGAGATACAGATATCGATAGAGAGATGAGATGGATAGAGAGCAAGATAGAAACATGGATAGAGAGATAGATAAAGAGATTCGAATAAGAGCGCATCTTTGGTGCCGAATAAGCGAGATAGAGAGAGAAATAGAGAGATAGAGATATGGATAGGGAAATAGAGAGAGAAAGAGAGAGAGATGGATAGAGAGAGAGAAATGGATAGAGAAATAGAGAGAGAGAGAGAGAGAGAGATGGATAGAGAAACAGTGATAGAGAGATGGATAGCGAGAGATACAGATATAGATAGAGAGATGAGATGGATAGAGAAATAAAGATAGAAAGGTGGATAGATAAAGAAAGATGGATAGATAGAGAGATGGAAAAAGGTGAATCGATAGATAGAGAGATTTGAATAAGAGCGCATCTTTGGTGCCGATGGGGTCGTTGGTTGTGCATCTGCCTATCTGTAGCTGTAGTATTTGATGCACCCGTAAAACTATCATCTGTCATTGATTTTGTCAAAAAGCAAGTTCTTTGGCTTTTGTGGGGAGACGTGACGTCTTTGCCGAAGATGACTCACCGTATCCGGGAGAAAATCTCTCGCTACTCCTTTTCAGGAATCCAATCTTTCTTCTCCTTTCCTGTCCAAACGTGGATGATGATCTCCTCTCCGCTTGGACTGATGTTTTGCATCAGTGTCGCTCTTTGGTGGTTGATTTCCGAGTCCGTATCGGGCACCAAGAAGAGAGAGAAGAAAGATATAGTTGGGGGGCGATGCATTTTTGAAGACCGCGGTGACCAAATAGTCAATCAGGCAAATAGTTAATAGTCCTTGTTTTGGTGCCATCCTTGCGACAAAGTCTTGAGATTGCTGATCTCTTCCGCCCGTTTCCATGTATTTCAGGATTTCTCAGGTGATTTCTAATGGGAGTCGGTTGTGTTTTGGTCAGTTGTTTTCCAAGTTATGTATCAATCAATGGCAAAAGGTTGGAAAAGGTTAGCACAATATTGTAAATGCAACCCAAGAAAATGAAACGACACTCGGGAACGTTTCCTAGCTGTGCTGTTTACCATGTATTGTTTATACTCCGAAATAAGTAAACGCGTTTTGTGTCACTTGCATGGCTTTGTCACAGATCCAATTAGTCACCTGTGTCTCATTCTGATGTTGTCTTGTGCCGAGCGAAGCGACATTCATATTCATCACAAGGCAACGCTTGATCTTTCTCGTTCCTTTGCAGCTTAAGGTGTGTTGTCTTTGCGCTGATCCGAAACGTTATACATTTCAGTCGAAATCAGTATTGGATATGTTTGCTGTCAATGTCGTTAAAATGCAAGGAAAGTATTTGCTATCAGGAGGTTATGTGTGTGTTTGTATGACTTGAAACGAGGTTACAGAACTATTGGAAACGGTGCGCTAAGGATCAAAAATAGTCGTAATTTTTTTTGTCCGAAGCTTTCTTTTGATCGGAAAGTTGGGAATTCGATAACGTATCGGTATCCCTTTATTATCCTTCAAAAGCAACCCAAATAGTTCCGAGTTTGAACGTGATTCGAGCCTCAACTAAGCGCCCGGGGAGCCGAGGAAGTCACTAATTTAGAGGTGTCTCGTTACGGAGACAAACTTGCAAAAATAACCCCCCGAACCCTAATTCGCAAATTGGCTCTCCGTTTGTCGGGGGGATATTTCACATCTCGCGCAGGAGCCGGCGACCTTTAATTAGAATTTTGCAGTTTGTTTTCAGCCCCTGGAGGCTGACACCTTGGAAAAGATTCCTTTTTCTTCTCGATGACTTGGTGCTAATAAGCATCTTTTTTTCCCCCCTTCTTCGCCCGCCGGTCCTTTGAAGAGGGCGATGCAAACACACTTAATTACGGAGGTGGCGGCAATTTGTAAGCGGAATATGCGATCAGGCAGAGGCACAAGCGATCTGATGAGATGCTGTGATCGCGCCCCGGAATGAAGGAAGGCGGGCGACTATGCGGAGATAGATAGATAGAGAGAGAGAGATGGATAGATCGCGGGAATAATCACCTTCCCTTTTGTTCTCTCTTCTCGGGGCTTTAGGAGGAAGGAAGAGCAATGTCCCGGCTGTCCTTAACGCGCTCCCCGGTTTCGCCCCTGGCCGCTCAAGGGATCCCTCTGCCGGCGCAGCTCACCAAGTCCAATGCGCCCGTCCACATCGACGTAGGAGGACACATGTACACCAGCAGCCTGGCCACCCTCACCAAGTACCCCGACTCCAGGTAAGCCAACCCTGCTCAGAACTTCCGCCTCACCTGGTGCCCACCTGAAGCACCTGTTGTGGTCCTGGTGCTTTGTCCAGAGTACCTGTTGCAATCATGGCGACACCTGTATTCAACCTGATTTTGCACTGAGGAATGCCATTTTAGTATTGTGTTTCTAATTATTTGTGTCTTCCTCCTTACCTGGAGACACCTGTATTCCCCAACACATGTTGTCCCCCTTACCTGTCCTTATGATGCTGTGTCCAGAGTACATGTTATGGTCATGGGTACACCTGTATTCCCCAATTCATGTCCCCCCCCCCCATCTGTTCTAATGAGTACCTGTTGCAATCATGGGGACACCTGTATTCAACCTTATTTTGCACTGAGGAATGCCATTTTAGTATTGTGTTTCTAATGATTTGTGTCTTCCCCTTTACCTGGAGACACCTGTATTTGCCAATACATGTTTCTGCCAGCCCTACCTGTCCTAATGATGCTGTGTCCAGTGTACGTGATACGATCATGGCGACACCTGTATTCAACCTGATTTTGCATTGAGGAATGCCGTTTTAGTATTGTGTTTCTAATGATTTGCGTCTTCCCCTTTACCTGGAGACACCTGTATTCACCAATACATGCCCCCCACCACCACCACCTGTCCTAATTATGCTGTGTCCAGAGTACCTGTTGCAATCATGGGGACACCTATATTCAATCTGATTTTGCACTGAGGAATGCTGTTTTAGTATTGTGTTTCCAATTATTTGTGTCTTCCCCTTTACCTGGAGACACCTGTATTTGCCAATATGCATGCCAATACATGGGGTACGTGTTACAGTCATGGGGACACCTGTATTCTACCTGATTTTGCACTAAGTAATACCATTTTAGTATTGTATTTCTAATGATTTGCGTCTTCCTCCTTACCTGGAGACACCTGTATTTGCCAATACATGCCCACCTACCTGTCCTAATGTGTTACGGTCATGGGGACACCCGTATTCAACCTGATTTTGCACTGAAGAATGCCATTTTAGTAGTGTATTTCTAATTATTTGTGTCTTCCTCCTTACCTGGAGACACCTGTATTTGCCAATACATGTTTTCCCCCCTACCTGTCCTAGTGATGCTGTGTCCAGAGTACGTGATACAGTCATGGGGACACCTGTATTCAACCTGATTTTGCCCCGAGGAATACCATTTTAGTATTGTATTTCTAATGATTTGCATCTTCCTCCTTACCTGGAGACACCTGTATTTGCCAATACACATGCCAATATATGTGTCCGGGGTACGTAGGGACACCTGTATTCAACCTGATTTTGCACCGAGGAATGCCATTTTAGTACTGTATTTCTAATTATTTGTGTCTTCCTCCTTACCTGGAGACACCTGTATTCCCCAATACATGTTCCCCCCCCCCCACACCTGTCCTAATGATTCTGTGTTCAGAGTATGTGTTACGGTCATGGGGACACCTGTATTCAACCTGCTTTTGCACTGAGGAATGCCATTTTACTATTGTATTTCTAATTATTTGCATCTCCCTCCTTACCTGGAGACACCTGTATTCGCCAATACATGCCCCCCCCACCAGTCCTAATGTGTTACGGTCATGGGAACACATGTATTCAACCTGATTTTGCCCTGAGGAATACCATTTTAGTGTATTTCTAATTATTTGTGTCTTCCCCTTTACCTGGAGACACCTATATTCCCCAATACATGTCCCTCCCCCACCTGTCCTAATGATGCTGTGTCCGTAATACCTGTTGCAATCATGGGGACACCTGTATTCAACCAGATTTTGCACTGAGAAATACCATTTTAGTGTATTTCTAATGATTTGCGTCTTCCCCCTTACCTGGAGACACCTGTATTCCCCAATGTCCCCCCACCTGTCCTAATGATGCTGTGTCTGGAGTACATGATACGGTCATGGGGACACCTGTATTCAACCTGATTTTGCCCTTAGGAATGCCATTTTAGTTGTGTATTTCTAATTATTTGTGTCTTCCTCCTTACCTGGAGACACCTGTATTTGCCAATACATGTTTCCCCCTTACCTGTCCTAATGATAACATGTCAGGAGTACATGTTATGGTCATGAGCACACCTATATTCAATGTGATTTTGCCCTGAGGAATGACATTTTCGTATTGTATTTCTATGGATATGTGTCTTCCCCTTTACCTATCTTATTAAACACCTGTTGCGGTCATAGGGTTACCTGTGTCCAACCTGATTTTGCCCTGAGGAATGCCGTTTTGACATCCTACTGCTCTGGTGAGAGAGATTGTAGTGGAAAGTCAGCTCTGGGTGTTTTCCCCCCGTTACCTGTCCCAATGATGTTGTGTCCAGAGCCCCTGTTGCAGTCAGGAGGACACCTGTATTCAACCTGATTTTGCTCTAAGAGATGCCATTTTAATATATTAGTGTTCTATTATTATTATTATTATTAATAATAATAATAATAATAATACCCAATTTTTTATCTCCACAAGGAGACTCAAAGTGGGATATGTGGTTCCCCCCCTACCTGTCTTATTTAGCACGTCTTGTGGTCATAGGGACACCTGTATTCAGGTGTTTTCCACCCTACCTGTCCTAATGATGCTGTGCCTGGAGCTCCTGTTGTGGTCATGAGGACACTTGCATTCAACCTGATTTTACCCTAAAGGATGCCATTTTAGTATCTTATTGTTCTAATGATATGTGGTTCCCACCTGTCTTACTAAACACCTGTTGTGGTCATGGGTATCACTGATACATGTTTTCCCCCTTACCTATTCTAATGATGCTATGTCCAGAGTACCTGTTGAGGTCATGGGGACACTTGTATTCAACCCGATTTTGCCACAAGAAATGCCATTTAGTATCATATTTCTAATGATATGTGTCTTCCCTCTTACCTGGAGACACCTGTATTCAGTGATACATGTTTTTCCCCCACCTGTTCTAATGATGCTGTGTTCAGAATACCTGTTGTAGTATGGGGATACCTGTATTCAACCTGATTTTGCCCTGAGAAATGTCATTTTAGTATCGTATTTTATGAATATGCGTCTTCACCCTTACCTGGAGACACCTGTATTCAGTGATACATGTTTCCCCCCCCCTGTTCTAATGATGCTGTGTTCAGAATACCTGTTGTAGTATGGGGATACCTGTATTCAACCTGATTTTGGCTTGAGAAATGCCATTTTCGTATCACATTTCTCATTATATGTGTCTTCTCCCTTACCTGGAGACACCTGTATTGACTGATACATGTTCCTTCTACCTGTCCTAATGATGCTGTGAGCAGAGTAGCTGTTGCGATCATGGGGATACCTGTATTCAACCTGATTTTGCCCTAAGAAATGCCACTTTAGTACCATATTTCTAATGATATGTGTCTTCCCCCTTACCTGTCTTATTAAACACCTGTTGCGGTCATGGGGATACCTGTGTTCAACCTGATTTTGCTCTGAGGACTCCTATGTTAGTATCATATTTCTAATGGTGTGTGTTTTCCCCCTAACCTGGAGACACCTGTATTCATCAATATGTGTTTCCTAATGATGTTGTGGTCAGAGCACCTGTGGTGGACATGGGAATACCTGTATTCAACCTGGTTTTGCCCTGAGGGACGCCATTTAAGTATCTCATTGCTCTGATTATATATGATCCCCCTCAACCTGTCTTATGAAGCACCTGTTGCGGTCATGGCTACACCTGTATTCACTGATAGGTGTTTTGCCCCTTACCTGTCCTAATGATGCTGTGCCCAGAGCACCTGTGGTGGTCATGGGGATACCTGTATTCAACCTGATTTTGCCTTAATAAGATGCCATTTTAGGATCTTAGTGTTGTAATTATGTTTATTTATGTTTCTCCCTACCTGTGTTCTTAAGCACCTGTTGTGGTCATGGGGATACCTGTATTCAACCTGATTTTGCCCAAAGGGATGCTATTTCTGTATCTCATTGCTTTGATGATAGGTGGTTTGCCCCCCCCCCCCAACCTGTCTTATGAAGCACCTGTTGTGGTCATGGCTACACCTGTATTCACTGATAGGTGTTTTGCCCCTTACCTGTCCTAATGATGCTGTGCCCAGAGCACCTGTGGTGGTCATGGGGATACCTGTATTCAACCTGATTTTGTCCTAATGAGATGCCATTTTTGGATCTTAGTGTTGTAATTATATTATTATTATGTTTATTTATGTTTTCCACCTACCTGGGTTCTTAAGCACCTGTGGTGATCATGGGGGTACCTGTATTCAACCTGATTTTGCCCAAAGGGATGGCATTCCAGTATCTCATTGCTCTGGTGATATGTGGTTTGCCCCCCTACCTGTCTTATGAAGCACCTGTTACGTTCATGGAGACACCTGTATTCTCTGATAGATGTTTTGCCCCCTACCTGTCCTAATGATGCTGTGCCCAGACCACCTGTTTTGGACATGGGGATACCTGTATTCAATCTGGTGTTGCCTTAAGGGATGCCATGTTAGTTGCTGTTCTAATTATATGTGTGCCCCCCCCCCACACACAAACACACACTTGTTCTATTAAGCACCCTCCAGTAATCAAAATTTGGCAGGTCTGTGTGCCAACTCTAGTCCAGATCCATCGGTGTTTGGGTTCACACTGCTCTCTGGATGTAGGTGAACTACAACTCCCCCAAATCAGGGTGAAATTTCATCCCAAGACCTCCAGTCTTTTTTGGTGGTCATGGGGGCTCTGTGTGACAAGTTTGGTCCAATTCCATCTTTGGTGGAGTTCAGAGTACTCATTGATTGCAAGGTGAACTATAAATCCCAGTACCTACAACTCCAAAACGTTGAGGTCAATTCCCCCCCAAACCCACCAGTGTTCAAATTTGGGCACATCGGGTTTGCACGCCAAGTTTGGTCCAGATCCATCATTGTTTGCCTTCATAGTGCGCTCTGGATGTAGGTGAACTACAACTCCTATAAAGTTGGTCTTCCCTGGAGACTAGGACGCAATGGAACAATGGCTTCAAACGAC